ATGAATTGTACTACGTTTTGGCTCATGTGCATTTAGTTCATACATACACTAAAATCAAATGAGAAAACTATATGCCGCTCCAGATTTATAAATTATTTTGAGATAAAAATACTAATAAAACGATAAGATAAAACAAATTTAATTTTTTGTTCATTTATTTTATAACCGTCATTGAACAGCCGACCCAATTTTGGGCTTACGATTACCAATGTTCAACTCCATAGCCTTATAATTTTAAATCCAACCCAGAAGACAAGGAAACTTCTGGATCAAATATTTTATTTTATTTTATAACCACCGTTAAACAGTCGATCCAATTTAGGGTTTACGTCTACCAATGTTCAACTCCATAACCTTGTAATTTCGAACCTAACCCAGAAGGCATGGAAACTCCTGGAACAAGAATTGGGAAAAAATTTGCCTCAGTGAAGAACTTTTTAATGGAACTAACCCGCATTTGCGTTGCATGGAGAGGAAAACCTTCTACGGTTAGCCTACCCATGATCCGTCTACCACTGAGGATATTTTACGATAGCGCCATGGCCGGTGCGAGCCGGGTGCGGAATTCGAATCGATCAGCCATCGCTAAGATTCGAACCGGGCTCATCTCATTCGGAGACAAGCGCTCTATCCCCTAAGCCAGCACGGCTCTTTGTGTCTTTCATTTTTATAATTTTTTAACTGTCTGGCATTATAGTATTGATAAAACGATACAATGAAAAAAGTTAATTTTTTACTAATGTATCAAATATTTTCAACATAATTAATAGAAGTTCAACTTAGCCATAGGGTTCCATAGCCGAAAAAACAAGGGGACCACTGATCTAAAATATAGATAAACAGGGTTGCCGTAGCTGCGGCCCCTAAGTCAAGAAGCCCCTCCCCCAAGGTCTTAGTTAATTTATTATTAAAATTAAAATAGCACATGAATAATTTGAATGCATGGTCGAATGATTAAAACATCGCTCAAAGCGGATGACGATTTAATTCCCATTTTTTAATACTGAAAAATGTGTTATTTCTTATTTATTTATTTTGAATATACGAACATTAAGAAATCATTTTTTTTTTTTTTTTTNTTTTTTTTTTTTGTGTGAAATTGTTTATTTTAAATGTTTATTATTTATTAAAAATTATTAAAAATGTTTATTTTTTTTTAATGGGAATTGATGATTTTTTTTTATTTAAAAATTTATTTATTTGTTTTAACTTTTTTTATCACTGAAAAATTCTTTTAAATTTTTTGAAATCGTTTTTTAACTTAAAATTAAAACTAGTAAAGGTGTGTGGTTAGAAAAAAAAATGGATTTCTAATTATTATCAAATAAACATGGATTTCTTTATTATTTTTTCGACTACATCTTTTTAAATATTATAGATTTGTTGATATATTTTTGGCTGGAGAAATCTTTTTATATTTAAGCATTCCGATACAGAGGAATTACTGTACTATCCTCTACACAGCTAAAAAACACTACTTTTATCAAATTTACAGTTTTTTTTTGTTTTCTTTTTTGTGATAGTAAAATAAAATTAAATTTAGTTAAATGAGTATCTTAAATTAATGGAATAAATTAATCATGTTGTTATTATTTTATTCATTTATTTCATTTTGTGATTTATTTCATTTTGTGGGTTTGTTGGAAGGGGAGATTTAAGTCACATTTATATTCTCACTTTTTACCGGAATGGGAATAATAGAAATTACAAAGCCTTCCTTTTAGAATTTTATAGTAAAAAGAAACAAATATTTGTTCTTTTTTTAATATTTGTAAAAAAATTTAAACATTGAGAAAAAAAGTTGTTTGAATACTGATGCTTAAATACATGGCACTTTCTTTCTTTCAGAGACGACAGAGTGCTTCAGAAGGAGACTATGAAAGTATGTTGACTTTTTAAGAATAGTCCAATACATATATATATTTAGTTTCTATACTCAAACTCTTAGCCACCATAATTAAGGCCAAAATATAGATATACTTATTATCATTATGTATGTATATCATTTTATAATACTCTTTCGTGTTCGACGGGGGCGTAGCTCAGATGGTAGAGCGCTCGCTTAGCATGCGAGAGGTACCGGGATCGATACCCGGCGCCTCCACTTTTTTTTATAAACTTCTGCTAATCCCAAAATCCATTTCGAATTTCTTACCTAACACCATTAAAATATACAAACTTTTCCTTAATATTTCTAGGCTACCTGATATAAATGTATAATTTATAAATAAAAACTTGTAAATTTACTAAACCGCTTGTTGTAAAAAAAGATTTTCTATATATAAATATTTATGTTACTTTAAATACAATTATTTTTATTAATAATCGGAAAATTATTTTGCAGCAAAATAGAATAAAAAAATCTATATTTTCGAATCATCTTGATTAATTCGAAAAAATTTTGTTATTTTTGTATCGTTTAAAGCTGTTGTAAATTTTAAAGCTATGGTTTTTATAATCAATCCCACACACGTTTTGTCTTTAGTCTTGATTCCTACATGCGAAATTATTCCTTTCGTTAATAGAAATGCTAAATAGGATTTTTAAGAAACAAAACATCCCAATGATTTAAATAATGTGAATACTTTTTGTATTGTTTCAATTTCAAAAAGTATAATATATTTTTGTGTCGGAAATAAATTTTTAATACTTATTATAATATAAACCATAAAATCTCTAGTGCTGCCATCTAGTAAACCATAAAGTTATTTCACAGCACACGGTATCCTAACTGACGAAAATTTCGTCCTGCAATAAATCGGAGCAATTTGAAACACTTGGAAACGAACTTTTCAGATATATTGAAATATGCACTAAAATAATCCCTATTTGAAGAGTTCAAATTTTTTAATCAGGAGCGATAGTTAAACCGTTTTATTAAATCGTATTTTCTTATATGACCAACAGATTTTAAAGAGAAATATTTTAAGGATTTTTTTCACCTAAATGATTTGAATATTTTAACACGAATTCAAAGTCGAATTAGTTTATAACTATTTTAATTTATTTTATAAAATTTCATTTACATCTAGAAATAAGTATTTTTGCAGGTCTTTCATGGAAAAGGTTCAATTATACCATATTTTCACTGATGATTTAATACATTACTGATTCTAGGCCTAAATATATGGGAGTATGCTTGACAGGCATCATCCAATAAAATATAGGTATATAAATAATATATATATATATTAATTTTTAGCAGGCAGTAGCACTTGATACATATATCATTCGCTAAACGCCACAAGAGGCTTAATATACACATTGTAAATCAGTGTATCTCTATCACAGCCCCTTTTTGCTCCTACTAACCTCTTTGTAACATTTCTTGTGTTATCTCTTCGATATGATTTTTCTAAGTTAGCTTCTTATCACAAGTAACACTCAAATATTTTGTAATAAGAAACTCGCTCAAGTCGGTATTTTTTCTTTATTAAATCCTTTTTCTTGTCTTAATGATTCAATATAAATGTTTGATAACATTTTTTTCAGAGTTAATTTCCGTTTCATTTACATCACACCAAACTGAAAGATTCTTAAGAGCTTCATTTGATCTTTTAATAAAGACGTACTTTTTCTAATGAATACCTGATGAGCAAATAACTAAATCATCTGCATATAAAGCATGACTCAGATCTTCGTCACCTTCAAACATCAGAGGTCAGTTATTAATAAAAATGTTAAAGTTGCACTCGCAACTCCACCTAGTAGTATATCTAGGTGAGATTGCTTAAATTTAAGTTGTTCTTGAAGAACTTAAATATAGGCCCTAAAATTTGGATAGGTCCGTAAGTTTTTTTTCCTTGTAAGACTGACAGGATTAAGATATTATTGAAATAATCTCATTTCATCTAAGCTATAATTCGTGAATTTTTACTTGATAACACATTTTTTAATTTGCTGCTAAATTATACTAATCCATGCACAATTAAAAACCACGAGTTTTTAAATGAAAAACTTTTTATTTGCACTATATATCTTCCCCAGTGCTTTATTTTAAGTAGGCCGGCCAGCCATTTGCATTTCAAAAATTTTTTTCAGCACTGGAAACTTCACATTACCTCACATAGATGTAAGAGGCTTTGGCATGGAGGGTTTCTAATACAAGGATCAACTCCTATGAATTTATTTGTCAATCTACCACCTGTTCTCCATCTCCCAGTTAATTAAATATAAATTTTTCTTTTTCAGAAATTACCAGCCTTCTATTATTGAATGCAGTCAGTTAGCTTAGTTCTTTGTTTGTCATACGCAATAGCAGCACGAAATTCCGCAAACCTGACTTATTTGTATACCTTGAAAATTTAATAAGTTTCAAAGTATTAAATATAAAAAAGTTTTTGTACCTTTCGTAAAAAGTATATATTTTTTCTCCCTCATTTATGAAAACTTGTCTTATGGTATAAAATAAAATTTGTAGAAATCCCCTTACCATTCAGTTTTTTCAAAATTTACAAAAACCAATTATTCAGAAAATAGTTAGCAACTTTTTTTTTTTTTAAAGAAATTCAAATCTGACTTTTTCAGAATTAACCGAAGATTAATTCATACAAATTTATACTATATTTTCTGACAGTGTTCCAAATTACTCGTAATTTACCAACAGTCCTTTAAACCTATACAAGCTTTCAATTTTCAGTATGAAAATTCGCATGACCAAAAACACATTGAAAGTTCTAAAAGTCATTTCTGAAGCCCTCAATTTTTAATTTATAACGTGTGTTATATTTTTATTTCCTTGTGTAAAAAGTGCAAATGCATTAGCTAAAGGAGTACATTAGAATACCATTATAACACAGTACCAAGCAGAACATTACATTTTGTTAGTTATAAATGTGCTAACTGTATTGTCACGATATAAGATATTTAGAAAAATAGTTGTGATAAGTACAATAAAATATTAATAAACTTCCCTTATGGCATTCAAGGTACAAAGATACCTCCTTGAATATAGCAATAAGATAACTAATAGAATATGCATCTTTAAAAATAACAACAAATAATGCACTAGAAAAATTTATTGTTATCCTAAATCTTTTGGAAAGCTGCAACATCAACAGATTGAACAAAATCTTCAAAGTTTTGTATTTCCTCTTGAAGCCAATCTATGCTGACCTGCAAAAGAAAAAAATAATGAAATGAGTTTCCATATTTTAATGCACTTTTGAAATTACATAGTGAGCAAACCTTCTAAAATGAAATTTGATGCCAACTAGATAACAGCAAATGTAAGAAAGATTTTTTTTCTTCATTTTTAAACAATATGTACATTTTACGAGAAGTCAAGAATAGTACATTTACTTAAAATAAATTCGGGGGGAAGCAGTGTACATACTTACTGCTGCTCCCCAAATTTTTTTGACCTGCCTTCCCGCAACAGTCATACTTCACCATACCACTACCCCTTTGTCACTTTACATTACCTAGACATATTAACAATTTTGAAACCAAACACCAACATTATTAAATTTTACTTCTAAACAGTGTTTTAATGACATTAGTGAGCATAACAATGACCATATGTACTTACTTTGGGGAAAAAGTAATACTTAACTTTCTGATTTATTTTATCACTGAAATGCACTTCACGCTACTTCTTACTTGTCACAATTTTATAATCCCCCTTTCCCTTCTAAGTGCATCATTTGTGCTTTGATAACTTTTGATTTCAAACATTAAATTAGATGTTTTCATTAGAAAATCTTATACATTTTTTAGGCTTATTTTTCAATGTTATTTTTATATGATTAACTCTGTTACTGACTCATTAAGTCAAAAAAGTAGTGACTCATTAAGTCAAAAAAATTATACGCCAAAATTTCTTTTCCTGACTAGGTAAAAGCCTTGACAATTCCACATATAAGACCTTCAATTGTATCAATTATACACATTTGTTTTAGCTGTTTTTTTTTTTTTTTTTTTTTTTACAATTTCTCATTAATCCCTAGAAAAAACTCAAAGTACTTAAAAGAGAACTCAGAAGAAAAAGGATGAAAAATACATTTCATTAACAGAATTTTGTGGAAGTTTTAACCATAAAATTTTAAATTTGCAGAATTCTGCAAAAGTATTACTGGAATATAATTTTAATTTGTGGAAGTCAGCGGACTAGCAAAATTTTGTGCCTTACCTTACCACTAGTTTTAAAACACAGCATACCCGATTTACATAAATATTAATGCCTCTAAATATAGGGCAACTTCGATGGAAACTGATATTCAGCACACTAAGTCTTTAACTAGCTGTACAGTTCTTGTTTAGTTTGATCATTTTATTTTATTTTGAAACAAATCAATGATATAATTTGAAAATATTCTTATTTGGTTTGCAACTATATATGGTTCTAATTTTTTTAATTATATTTTATTATTTATGAAGAAATAATCCAGATAATAATAAATTTGAAAAATTACTAACCTTGTCATCTTCTACAACACAGACAATTTGCAATTTCTTGATACCATAAGCAAGGGGTACAAGTTTAGCTGCAAAAAATAATTAAAATTGTTATATAATACAAAAATAGAGAAAAAGTTAAGTCTAGAGACACACTTGGATGAATTTTTGAGTGAGAAAATGCAACATACATCAAGTAAATAAAAATTATAGTCCCCACTCAATCTTACAGTTTAAATAAAAAAAAAAATTATAAAATTTTAGCAGCACCTTGAAATACAAGAGTTTTTAAACTGGAAATCTGAACCCATCTTATCCCTAAATATACACGAAGATATAAAAATAACAGTTTCCTTATACTTTTATATTAAAGCCTTGAGGTAGTGTGTACTAAATGAAAAAAATTTTTCCAAGCATATCACAAGATTAGATTTATTTTTAATCTAGAAATCCAAAGATTACAAATTTTTCATAATTCTAACAAATTAAATGCTAACAACTATAAAATTAAATGTTAAAAATAGAAAGGATCAAATCATCATCCTCAAAATATTGTTTGGCTACCAGTATAACAAAATTAAAAAAAAAAAAAANAAAAAAAAAAAAAAAAAAAACTATTTTATTTAAAATCATAAAATTAATTTAACGATATTGATTTAAAATAAGATGGTTAATTTTTCAATATGTGCAATACAGTACATTGCAAATACAGTTTTGAAACTTTAAGTAAGTTGACACCAATGCAGATAAATTTAATCCAAGTGATTTTCAACATTACTAATTTATTAAAATAATTTTTTTTAATTATTTACTAAAAATTTAACAGAAGCCAGTAAGTTTCTATACAGTGAACTTATTTACAATTACTTGCAAGAGTTTCTAAACCACTCCAAAAGGGAAAATGACAGTTTATATCTTGGAACTACACCCACTCTCCCATAAATCTCACACAGGGTCAATTGAAACATAAAAGGAGATATGCAAGCCCTGCCTCAAATTGGGAAGAAATCTTACAAAAATATTTAGTATCAAGATTTTTTTCTCAATAACTTAAAAATTATTTTCCTCATGCTCCAGTTTTTAATCCTATTTCTCTTCTTTGAAATAAGCACAAAAAACAAAGCAAATAAAAAGTCTACTAATTCTGACCTTCCTGACCTATACCTTTTTCACCAACCAGGGGTCTGTCCAGACATTTTGTGAAAGGTCCGTTTTTCGTGAAATTGTGAAAAAATTACTCACATTCTTTCAACCAGGGTCCGCTTTTATAAATTTGTGCAAATAGGGTCCGTTATTGCAAAAAAAAAACTTTTTCAAGGAGTTTTTAAATTGTAAACATGTACAAGATTATGCTCTGCACTGTAAAATTATAATAAAAAAATTTAAATTTTTAAAAATAAACAATTGCTGCTTCTAAAGTAGAGATGCAACATACAAATATTTGGTATTTAGCCTATACTGCTGAACGCAGAATATTGATTTCGGACGAATAATGGAAGAATCGTCTGCCGAAGACAAAACTTAATTCGTTTACATACATCTTTCTTGTTTTCTGCCCTGGAAAGGGTTTATTCGATTAACAAAATAATAATGAAGATAAACAAATTTGTGAAGGGTCCGATTATAAGAAAAATCATTTTGTGAAGGGTCCGTTTTTATGAAAAGATATTTTGTGAAGGGTCCGTTAACGGACCCAAATTTCTTCTAAACAGACCCCTGCCAACTTTCAAACAAAAAATGTGGCACAATATTTTTATCTTCATAAGCGATTCAAGGCGAAAAAGTAAAAAAAAACTGCAATATGTAAAAAAAAAAAAAAAAAAAATTACGAAAACAAATGAGAAAGTGAGAATTCCCTACATTTACTGTCTAAAATCAATGTATTTTCCATGGTAATAATGTCTAATTCTTTTTTTCAAAAGCTCCGTATCTCAAATTTCTAATAATGGAGCACAAATGTCTAAACCTTCTTTATCAGTAGAACTTATAGACAGATATGAATTTCGTGAACCCACAGGAAGTAGGGATGAACAGGTTGGGGGTGTTTCTTGGAATTTCAATCACCATCCTTGCACTTCCTCAACTAGAAAGGAATAAAATGATTCTGGCAGGAAGTGAGGGGATAACTTGTAGATGCCATCGATGAAAAATGTTCTCTTCCAAAAATAATTGTTAGATGTTATCAGAATTACTGCTTTGCATGGAGAAATGTCTCTTAAAAACTATCCAAAATGGTTTTAAAAAGTTGATTTTAAGAATAGCTGTGAAGATGTTGAACAAGAGGTTTAAGGCACCAGTAACGAAGGAGAAACTGTTGACGGTTAAAATATAGTGCTAGATTTGCCAGAAGGGAATGGAATAAAATCTGGATTTAATTTTTTTACAAGTGGACAACTGCCCGGCAACATGCGGAACACTGACAGATGCAGAAATCATAGATAAGGTCAAAGGAATATTAGATGAAGCTGAAGATCATATTGATAAACGAAAAGTGAAGGCAAAAGAGGTAGGAAAAGCTGTAGAATACTTATAAACTATTCTCGAATCCCAGGAAAATGTTGTTCCCTATATTTTGTTGGTCAGAAATACGAAGGGGAAAAAAAGGTATTTATTTAGAGAAAAGATGTTTTGAAATCTGATTTCATAACTTATAATGCCTGCACTAATTTATTAGCACATTTAAGGTCACTTTTTCAAATCATCAAGATTGAGTCCTAGATCATGAAGATCCAATTATTAGATCAAAAGTTATTCAGGGTGGTTGTTTTGTACGCACTGTACACATATTGCAGACTTTGTATATAAATGTGCAAGTGTTTTCAATAGATTTAAGCTAAGTTAGACAATAATTGAATACATTATACTTAATTTTGTACAGAAAATTAAAATAAAATACTTACACACTCCCCACATTAACCCATCACAGCTAATAGTTCGTACTTGCTTCTCCATAGCAGCCATGTCTGTTTCATCATCCCAAGGTTTCACATCAAGGACAACATTAGATTTTGCAATAACACCAGGTTCTAAAAAAAAATAATTTGAAAATAAAATTCTAAAAATACAAAAGCAATTTTCATCTTAATGAAAATAAAAAAATTAAGTTTACTTTAAATTTAACAAAAACAAATGAAAAATCTAATGATGTCAAATCTAACTAATATACAACATTTCATAAATGCACTAAAACTGTTTTTAATGCAGTTTAGATATTTATAATAAACTGGGGAAGAAAATTTATATACATTTTAAACCTTGTTTGATAAGTCTTTAAGGTAAACAAGCATAAAAAAGTAGTTTATTCAATAAAAAAAATAACAAACGATAATGTCGATTTCATACAGCATTTTTTAAATGTTGAATGACATTTCAAATCTAAAGAATATTTAGTATTTTAAAACATATATAATAAAACAAATTAAAAATGAACATAATACTAGCAGTGAGCATTACCAGCCTCAAATTCAAAAAGTAAATCAATTTACCTTTAAATATTATTAATATTCAACTTTATTTAATATTAATATTTTATTTTTCTCCAAGTTACTTGCTTTTAGTAAAAAATTTTAACAGATCAACACACAATCATTTATTTTTTTGAAAATAGAAACAGCTTTGTTTATTTTGTTTACACAGAATTTTTTTTTTTTTTTTTTTTAGTATTTTAAAGCCCAATTTCGCAAATTCACGGAAATATAATTTGGCATGCTCTTTGATTAAGGAAATATTGTAGCAACAATTAAAATAAGATACACCATTATAAAAAAGATTTACTTTTTGATTTCTTTTCTGCATAGGCTTTCAAACGCTCTTCTTTAAGCTTTTCAGCCTCTGCGTCCTGTAAAAATATGAAGATTAAAAATAAACTACAATATTTATTTTCATTATTATGTGTAATATCTAGCATAAAATAGATGACACTCATTTCAAACACAAAATAAGTCACATGTCACAAATTATGCATTACAACACAGTACTTAGGCAACTACTGAGTTAATTAAATAACAAACCACAGCATAGATATTGCTATGCACACATGTAGAAGAAAAGTAATTACAAAATGTATATTCAATAAACATTTTTTTTAATAAATAATTTGATATATATTTTTTATTTAAAACATTTGTACTTTTCAAGTAATATATAATATAAAGAAATTTATTTACCACTTCATCATCAGATCCAAAGAGATCAATATCATCATCATCATCACCACCAGCTTTGGCAGCTTTAGCAGGAGATGATTTAGAAGTTTCACTAAAAGCACTGATGTCTTTTTTAACCCCTGGGAGACTATAAAAAATGAACAACCAAAATTACTTACAATTCATACAGCACACACAGAAACTAAGAATTTAGAACTTTTTTTTCATTTTGTACCTAAAAATTTCCCACAAATAAATTTAGATATTTTATTTTTATAACTCATTAGCAAAAAAACAATCTTTCACATAAAGAAATAAAATTAAGAATAAGAAACTGAATTAACTTATGTCCTTGCAACAGAGGCAATAACCTGTGCTAGAAAAAATGGAGCAGTACTGCTGTTTTAAATTACAATTGCCTTCATACAGCAGTTTGCATGGGCATTATTGGAGTTATGTTCCCTTCAATAATTTCAGTTTTTAAAAGCCCCCTCAATATTTCAAACAAATAAAGAAAATTTTCGTGAACCATCTATTTAAACTCAATAAAGTTAAAAACAAGAAAGAAATATAAAACATTTAATCTTTTGCCGACATAAGAAATTGACTTATTATAAATGAAATCTAGATTGCTTAGTTTTTATATTTCACCCCCCTTCATCCTTCCCGCTGAGACTCCAGCGGCAGTACAATTTTACTGAAATTGCCGGTAACAAAAGAATATGTCATAATTTTGTCTCCTAGAGACCCAGTAAACACACGAATTTAAAAAATTAGATTCACATAGGAATTTTAATAAGCTGTCAAATAGTTTTAACGAATAATACGTTTATTTTTCAGATATTACGTGTCTTAATATTAAATACAGAAGGCAGACTTCAAAACTTCGGCTTAGATAATTTGAGCTGTCGCATTAAATGCAAACTAAGAGAATATCTGTTCAATGTAAATTACCTTGTAATGGATTTGCCATAAGATTTTATGTGATTATACCATCTTAGAGCATGAGGGTGTTGAGCTGAAGGAGCCGACGAAAGGGCTTGGAAAACTGTAGTATCGGCTTGAGAAGGCTGGAAACTGAAAAAGGAAAACTATGTGAAAACTGTTGATTATGTGGGATGTGGCAGGCTATGTCAGTAAGTTTAAATCTTTAATAATCGGAAATATTATTAAATAATTACCCTTCTATATAGCTGTTATCAGCCAAATATTCATTAAGCGATTTAAGGCCAGCAGCAGTTTTGAGATCTCCGAAACCCATTTTGCAAATTTGTATTTAAAGAGAACACAGCTCACAATCGCTAGGAAGGTGCAAAGAGAAAGTGAAAATATTTTTCAAAGCAGAACCAAAGAGAGTATTGTGATGCCATATTTTTGTCATTAAATTTCATTAAAATTCCATTTGAATATTTTAAGAGTCATTCTCGCTGAACGCAATTCTTCCGCATGAGAAAAATTGCCAGCGGGTGACCGTCGGTGTGCGCAGTGGCCCCCATCCCCCCAAGCTCTTGGGCGCATTCTTGGGCAAATTCTAAATCCCCCCCAAACTATTCACTTTATTTAGTGTAAAAATTCCCCCCCCCCCAAGCTTTAAGTGGGCGCATCGTGCGCCCACCTTCCCCCCTGGTGGGGGTCCCTGGGTGTGCGGGTGGGTGACCACTTTAAAGTTAACGATGTTAACTTTAAAGTTAAAGGGTGAATGAGAACCAGAATGGGGAAATATATTTACCCGCGAAAAAATCACCAAACAAGCTCCTGCACGCATCTCTGCAATCGCATACACGATTTTTTCATATGTTGTGGGTAGGTAAATACTTTATTTACGTCGCACAAGAGTTGCTCAATGGTCTATTGGCTACGGTCTGGGAAACATCCTTGAGGATGATCCTCTGCAGAGGGGATGGCTTCCCTGCTTTGGAAGCTCGACGACCTGCACTAAGTTGATAACTTTACAGTTGTGGGGGAGGTGTTATCAGACAATACCAACCGTCATCTATCAAAAGGTACCTCTTGTTAGATTGAAGTTAGCATGCTTTATATACCAGTGCATTGATGTTTAATTTTCGTAGTGGTATTTACGCCACACTGTAGAACACTTTAACGAGGGCCGATACCGCACAAACTCGGTCCCTACGAAGACTGATCAAAGTGGTCACCCACCCGCTTACTGACCGCAGCCAGTGATGCTTCACTTCAGTGTTCTACTGGGAACCCTGTCTTTACGGTCAGTCCACTGCGGGACCATATGCTGGGACATCGAAGGGAAAATAACACTGACGATGTTCTGGATTTTAATTTAGGAACTATTTATATGCATTTAATTTATGAGGATTTATCTATAAGCGATCGCAACGCTCGAATTCCCCATCTGGGAAGAAGACCGGTTCCATGCCTTTGACGCTTCTCCCTTCCCTCTTCTCCTCTTTTCAGTTGCATAGGAATGTGCTTCGATATTTTTCTTTTTCTTATCATTTTTCGTATTTAATTCTTAAAAAATATGTTTCAAAATTTCCATGACGCTTTCTTTTAGAACTATGCTTAATGTGGTTTTCAGTTCCATACAGTTTTCTGACTTATAAGATTTTTATCTATTTTAAAATCAAGACAGAAACTAACGTACTTCCTTCTTCTATGACTCTCCGCATGCTAATGGTGAAAGTATGCAAAGTGCTGCGATAGGGAGAGAGTTCTTCTTCTCTATGCCACCTGTAGCCCATTTTGATTGCCAATAAATTATATTTCATAACCATTGATGAACGCAGAATTCGTCCGTAAAGTGAATTTAGGAAAAAGATATTGTACTTTAGCTAAACTCCTAATGTATGGGTAGCTGAATGTGAACAATAACAAGCTTCCAGAAACCGAAAAAATGTAGAAAACTTCTGGCCGCTGCCTGGTAGAAAACTTTTCCCCGCTGCCTATGTTGTTTAGGACGCGATGTGTGAACAGGCATGATATTCAAGGATACCATAGTAAGCTTGATATTCTAAGATGCTGCTTATTCTAGGATATTCATTTGCTAAGTCTAATGTGGTAGATCACAGATGTTTCAAAGTGTGCATGCGCCTCTTTGTCTATTAGATATCTACGATTAGACTTTGGTAGTCATCTATCAGACGTATGGTTAATTTCCAGTATAACTTCCCTGGATTTTGTATGGCCGTCAAATGTATGTTGATATGACAACCACATGAATCATGGTGGATGTTAAAATTGACGGCTAGTAGACATCCAGTTGAGAATTTTGTGCTACATTCAGAGCCGGATTATACCTTTCGTAGGCCCTAGGCACAGCCGTTTATGGGCCCTCCCCTCCTTCCCCCACTCCTCCCCTCTTTTCAAAATATGTGCTAAAATTTTCTTCGTATGGAAACGTATTACGCCATTTTAGATGCATTAATTTCAGAAATGACTAAAAGGCGTAAAGCTTACAGTGATTTGTACGATAATTTCGGTTTTCTTGTTCACAAAAATTTGTCAGAATCTGAGATTAAACTAAAAGTGCAAAATTTGGTGAAAATTTATTCATCCGATTTAGAGGAAAACTTTGTAGATGAATTTTTACTATTTTCAAATTTGTATGAACATAAATCTGCACAAGAAATGCTGAAGGCTCAAATTAAAGATAAACTTGTGAATACTTTTCCTAACGTTCANTCTCACTCGTTCAGTGCTTACCAAACAAATTTTATGACAAAATTAGCATTCGAAGAAATTCAGGAAAAAATTGGTATTTTCCATAATTTTTTTTAATTAATTAATTAAAATATTTTCTTTTCTTTTTAGAAAAGAATTTAGGAAGAATTGATATAAATAATTAATTTTTGCTCAAAATTTCCGATGAACTATAAACTTTCAACCCCAGGAAACTCAATATCCATTCTCGCCATCGCCATAACTTTTGCTTTTAACTCTTTAATTCAAGAATTGTTTAGAAATAAATTAATTTATCTTGTAAAAGTGAAATCCAATTTCACAGCTCAATTACTCTAATTGTATCACAAAGTGACAATTAAGAAGTACATTAAGGAGCTTGTTTTCACCAAATGTTGTTACGCGCCATTTCGGCAAAGTTTCTGTCCAATGAGAGAAAAAAAAAAAAGAAGAACCACGAGAGATGTAATAAAAATTTATCCACTCAAAACAAAATCAACTACCCATCGTCCACAAGATCTTTTCAAAAATTAACAAAAGCATCTTTCAGTAGCACATGAATGCATGGATGGGCATATATGCCTTGCTAAAAAAGCAAGAATCGTTTGCAATATCCTTGGTGAACAGTTTTGTAAAGAATTAGAAAGAAGAAGTTGGTCTGTGTGATAAGTTCGTTGAATCTAATGGTCAAAATATGCTTACTCTAACTTCAGGCAGAGTTATTTGCTTTGTTTAAAATTTTTGTAAATTAGCTTTAATTATTTGAAAGTATGAAACAGTTTAGTTCCTCTTTTCATCTCGCTTATTGGATTTAACTGGAAATTTCATAGTGAAACTTTAAAAAGTTTATCTGTATATATAGAAGTTATCTATAAAGTGTTCAAATGTTTTGGTATCAAATCTGCGAGTTATAAGTTTCTTGTTTCACAAACGGTTCAATTGACTTCGAGTGAAGGAAAATGGCTCATTGTTATCTAGCATGGATGGCAACATGTCTAATTGTTCTTTGGACAAATGTAAGTAACAAATTAATTTTTTCATGAGTTAACTGATTTATGTGCTTATTGGTTTGGGAATTTTATGTTTGATATATTATAGCAGTAGCGCGCAGAGGTGCATGGATGTTAGCGGTTAATTCCTCGACTTGATGACTCAAGTAATTAAGTGGTAACCTATTGTTTATACTAATTTTTTTTATGTAAATTAAGGAAAGTATAAAATAGCAAAGAAAATTTTTCCCATCAAAATTTCTTAGATTTTATTTTATTTTTCAATGAATGGAACATAAAAATGTTTTATATTATATTGCGGTATTTTCACTTTGTGTTCTAATTCCCTAAAACTCCATTGTTAAATTTATTTGAAAATCATGTTATCATGAAATATTTTCCATGAGTCCAACATTTTTCTGCTAAGAAGTTTTTATTTACAATGAAAATAGTTGTAATGCGGTTAGAGTTTTAGTGTCGCTTTGAGTTCTAATGCTTGGGTCTGTAAACCCTGTGGTCTTCCTTTCCGCACACCACATCGCTGCCCGCATTGATCACAAAATTTTTTAGTAATCGAATGATAACTAAAAAGTTTTTTTGGTGACGGAATGATATCGATTGCTTCTCCCTCTTACTCTTTACATAAGGAGGATTTACACGAGGAGGCAAAATGCATGCTCCGCTTCTTATGGGAGTTGCTGTGTTTTTCTATCGAAGTAAACTTAGGATTTTGTTTTATGCTTCAATGATAACAATTCAATAAAAAGCTTAAACATCATATTTAACAGTAAGTTGGCAGATATAACAATTTTGTGTGTATAATATCAAAAAATTGAGTGTTTAGTTTCTGAATTATATAGAATTAAGTATTATAGAAATAAGTATTATAGAAATGAAATATTATGTTCTTTCGTTAACCGAAATAAATTGTTCAAAATTGTTCTAAAAATTAAAAATATAATATTTTTTGAGAATTATTATTATTTTAAAAATTTTTTGTCTTCTGTTGTACTACAAATTATTTGATTAAAAACTTATTTTCTTACAAGCTGCTTCGCACTTTAATTGATTAGACGAGTTTTCGATACAACCATTTACAAATATTTTTTAATGCACTAACTCTCTTACTCAACCATTCATATATTGGCTAATAAATTGACTCGCTTCCTGTCTTGTTCTCTCATTCCATTCAATCGTTTGTTCATTAGCTATATCAATTTTATTTTGTACTTTATAACTGGTGGTAAACAGCTGAATTAATTCTGAATCTACAAGTATAATGCTTAAATCCGTAGCCTTGTAATTTGAATCTAGCCCAGAAGACAAAGGAACTTTTGGATCAAGCATAGGGACAAAATAGCCTTTGTGGGGGACTTTTTGACAGAATTTACCCGCATTTATGTTAAACGAAGAGGAAAACCATGAAAACATGCCACGGTTAACCCGAAGGTAAGGCGATTCTAAGCAATGATCCGTCTATCACTAAGAAAACTTTACGTCAGCACTGGTGTGAGGCGAGGTATGCCGAGAGCAGACTTCATATCAAACAGCCACTGCTAGGATTCGAACCTACTTCACCACATTGGGAGGCGAACGCTTTATCCCTTGAGTCGCACCACGGCTGGCTGTATCAATTATCAATATGCTTGAGTTTATCATTTGGAAAACTAAAAAAAGTTTTTTAGAAAAAACGGTCGGTATAGTCATGGATGTTATTTATTGAGGACACACGTTATTTATTGAGGAAAAATATTAAAATTCGATTGTTAAAGTCGATATATTCTGTTATCTACGAAATGTTTTTAAAACTATAAAAGCATTCAAACATATATCTATTTGTAGAAATTACACTTTTAAATGTTTAAAAATTTATATATGAAGAATATTTACGATAATAAAATATAAGCATATAAGTGACCTAGTTCAAGAACAAACTTCATTTTAGATGTTAATTACGTATGAGCAGAAAAAAAGAAAGAAAGAAAGAAAAAAAGGGGGGGGGGAATGATACAAGTGCTACAAAAAAAAAATTTTCTCTTTTCTTTTCTTAAAAAATTTTGCCAATCACCATACCTCAAATTACAGATAGATTTATTATATTCTTTATTCATTTATTTACAAATTCATTCTCAAAACTACAAACCACTCAATTTTTTCCCCTTTATTCACTTGCTATATAAAAAATCATTCAAGTAAATGTTTCCAGTGAATTCGATATTCATAAAAGAATATTAAATGATGATATTTGAGAAAGTCATCGGAAAGGGCAACAAACAATAATAAATAAATAAAACTGAAACTATTTTAGCTTCATTAATTGAAGAATTTAGTGAATGAAACAGGTAAGTGATATTTTTAGTGAGGCTGCAATCAAATTACGAAAAAAAAATGGTATTTGAACTATTTTATTGCCAATTTATTAGAAAGCGGGACTGATAATTCCTTACCTTATTTTACTTACCACTGCCTAATTTGAAAAAAAAAAAAATAATACAACCATACTAAAAACTAATGTAGATTAGTTTATGAGGATTAAAGTGAAGTAAAAAAAAAGTTCTGTTACATTAATCATACCCACATTGATGCAACTGATTTATGTTATTTTCTCTGATTCATTAATTACCCTAAAATATCACTTACCTGGTTCTACTGGTTTACCTGCGCTTCAATTGTATCGGTATATGTTTTCAGTTTCGAACATGATTTCTTTTTGTTTTCAGTACTAATTTATTGATTATTTTCTTTTCTTTCTTTTTTTTTTATTCACTGAAGCTCTGATAAAATGTAAAAATAACACTTAATATCATTTAACTATAATACAGCAACGAAAATTCTCAGTACCACTAATAATTAAAAGGTTAATATTATTTAATTATTGCAAAATAATTACGAAATAAATTAAGTGAGTTACTTTATTTATCGAACTCACAATCTTAATGAATTGTAAAGACAGAGAACAAACTTGTCGAATAAAAAGGAAATTTTAGATCAGAAAGCATTTTTTTAAATAACTTATTCTTGGCAGAACAAGGTTTTATTCTTTTATTATTAGTAGATACTTTAATTACGAATTTAATAAGTTTTAAAATTACATTTATTTAATTAAATATGTGAAAAGTTGCATGGTATAATTGCTATATAAGAATTAATGGGTATAATTGAATTATTTTTATTGATAGTTAAGCAAAATATTTTACATATTACAATGAGCACATTAAAATATAAAAAGGACTAATAATGTATTTAAACATAATAATAAATGTAAATAGGCATAAATAAACTAATAAAAAAACAAGATTCGCTTTTAAAAAGGGGGATTCGAACCTACTTCANTAAAAAATGATGTCTCCTTCATCAGTTTATATATATATAGATAGATATATTCTACCTAAGTCTATGAGTTTAAAAAAAATCCTGTGATTTTAATTAATGATTTTTTTTTAAGTCAAATGTTTTTAAATCCTGACAACAATGCTTTTAATTTGCCTCAAAATTATCCGAGGCAGTTATTGCAGTCTGTACACGTTTACAAATAGACAATAATTGAAATTTTTAATATAATTAATTTTTATGTCATCCAAGTGGAATTCGTGTTCGCATTTTTCGCTACAAGATAATTTTTTCTACTGGGAAAGAGGTTGAACTAGGAGTGTAGTTTATAAAGATTTAAAGAAAATTCCGCAACGTCGCAAGAAAGAGAAGGTAGAAAAGAAAAAATTAAAAAAACTTGTAACATGATTATTAACCAGTTTTGAATTTCTGGCGACCCTAAATTTTAGCGGCCCTGGGCGGTCACCAAGCTCACCCACCCCCTTAGAAACGGCCCTGCTTCTATCCATGATACCTTATTCACTAGCACCGTAGTAAAGATTTTTATCATTGCAATTATACATTTAGAACCGCTTTGAACCATAATATAGTTTAAAATTGCTACAATTCTAATAATTGTGATTGCGGAAAGTTCCGAAGTATCGTTCAAATTAATCTGCTTGCATGTTTACACGATAGATTGTTCAAACTAAACACATACATGATTCAATTTAACACTTTATTAAGGTTGCAGTAGCTGTGCACGGTAGTATAGTTCAAGCTAAAAATATTATGATTCAGTGTTAAACTGATTGTTCTGAAAGTACATATTGTAATGTGATTTTTGTATGTTACGGTGAGTTTAAGTTTTATTACTCCTTATGGTATGTATCACTATTTCAAATGCATAAAGCATAAAACAAGGCATAAATAAAAATTAAATACATTTTAGTGTAATTAAATTATCTAATAATATTCGATTACGTAAAAATATTGTAAGTTAATATCATAATTTTTTATATAAAATTTTAGATAAATTCAAAAGTAATAGTGCATTGCTGGGAAATTACGGCATTGTGACCGCTTCTTTACTTAGAATAAATTTCAATTTTATTCGTTTTATTTCTGTTGACATCAATGTGTTTGTTTTTCATTACAAAATTCTATTTATAATAAATAAATACAAAAGTATGTTATCAGTTCCTTCCTATATTGTGGCATTCCCATGCTGTGACATCTACGTCGCTCACAAATCAATTCCTTTTTAACTCTGCTTGTTAAAATATAAAACTTGTTTTCATCACAAATACGACTAAGTTTTAATTTTATCGTTTAAAATAGGCAATGTGTTGCTGCTGTTGACGAAATTGACAAATGTTTTGGAACAGTAAGTTTTAAATTAGTTCTTCAGCAATATGTCCCGCTGTTCCATTAAGGCAGTTTTTATTCCAGGAAAGTTTTTTGGAGGGAAACGAGCTGAGCATTACCGGCATTAATGCCAGGAGATCTGACTCTCCATTCTAACTCCTGATCGTCTTCAGCTTCAAGGTTGATTTTCCACGACTAGATTAGCCTTATGTGGAAGCATGTTGTCACCTATAAATATTAACTGGGGATCAGCTATGCCTCTGAACAATCTTAGGGATCTAAGATCTCAACCTTTACCTTTGAGATATCAAGATGCCCCTCTGTAAGACGCACAAGTCTGTGGGGTGGTC